TGAACTAGCAAGCAGGTGGGTACAAGTAGGAAAACCTAAAAGTGTTGTACCCCATATTGTCTACCCCACTACAGCCTATACAGACTATAGCATATGAGTTTGACAGTGTGTTACCAGCCAAAGCTTGTGGCTTATGCACAATTGCGCGAATACTGGTCGAAGCGAATATCGCGAGGAGGTATCAAGATGGAAATAGTTATAGTGGGCGTGTACTTTGTTGTACGCGGAAAAGATTCTAATATACCTTACTCCATTTCGTGGTTAAGCTATCAATGTGCAGTTATACATTTTGTACGTGTAGATTGCTAGGCTAGGTTGGGTCTAGAGCAAGGCCCAAAATTCAAGGGTGTTTTACCCTTTCTACCCTTGCTATGGGCCGCTTTTCCAGGATTGCCCTGATATAGTACGTGTATTTGCCAAACGACCCTGACTGTAAAAATGTAGTTTTTGAAATACAGTTTCAAAATCAGGCCTCCCCGAGTTTTCCCCTGACGAGTCAGGGTACTTTTTGAAATGCACAGAAACAGACTTCCTTCGTGTCGTTTCTGTGCAACAGGGCCCGTGTGGCCACTCGACCGAGATTGGTTACAAAACTGGCCCCTGCAGTCACTTTCGCACTGTCAACTCAACACACCACACCACAAGTATGAGGTAGTGGCATTTGGATTTTGCTCTTGCATTCAAGGTGGTTCCATAAATACCCTTACAAAGACAGAATACTGGCCAAAACACACTGATTAGCACTGGGCAATTTTTTTTTCACCCTGACTGTCAGGCAAAGGGGCCAGGGGGACCCTGATATGGCAGGGTGCCCCGAAACCAATATTTGGCCCTGGTCTAGAGGATATGGGTTGCTACTTGTACTCCCCTGTAGGCCATATGCCACCTTCTGGTCGCTTTTTATGTTGTTGACATGGTATCACGTTGGGTAGGACCATTGATTCCTGTTGAACTAGGAATGGGAGAATGAATGACTAGAAAAACAAGCATAACGAGAAATCATATAGCAAACCCTAAAGGGGGACGTACCCTCTACAGCAGAACTCGGTGTAACACATAGACTAAACTAACAAACCATAGCAATCATAGTTTGACACAACCCCATAGTCTAGGTGACGGCAATCCCGTGGAAAGCAACACATATCTCAGGGTGGATCACAAAGTCACCATACGGTCTGAGAGCAAGCAAGGGTCACATGGCCAGTCAGCAACAACAAGCAATGTTCACAAGACCAGTCCACAAGAACAAAACAAATCTCATGGAGGATCTCAAGATCACCACACAATCCGAGAATAAGCAAGAGGTGACAAGGCCAGTCCACATGCAAGAGTATAGCAAAAATAGGAGATGTAAGAGTACAAGACAAGCAAGACAGGCATCCGTACGTAAGCAAGTGAGCACTGGCAGGCACAAGGCCCAACTGGGTGTAGTAACGCTGGTGGTTAGAAGGCGGCAACGCCTTGGTGAAGACATATGCAGTGTTGGCCTCAGATGCCACACGTACCATACGGGTCTGTCCACGCGGCTACAATTTGTGCAAAAGTAAGTAACGAAGCTAGATACGCTTCGCCTTCCCAACTAGTCGGGGCTTCTCGCACAACAGGACATCAGTTTGTGTCGACAAACAAGACAGGGGGGGAGCAAGGCCGCTCATCAAGGCCGGTGAGGAGTGAAGGTAGCCACCGAAGCTCGTGGGCGGCCATGGCCGCAGCGTACACCTCAGCCTCATAGCTGGAGCTAGCAACGGAGGACGCATGAGTCGACCTCAACGAAACGGCTCCGGTCCCAAGGCTGAAGCAGTAACCCTATGTAGACCTGTACGCCTGGCCACAGTCCGCGTACGACGAGTGTAAGAAACCTGTGAGTGTACTGGCTGCTTCTTTCCAAGGACAAGTCACATGTCTGATGTGCTCGCCACATACTTCAGCACCCTCTTAGCAGCCAACCAGTGGGAAGGTCGGTGTCTCCCAGGTGCGACAAAGGGTGCCATGACGCTAAGAGCGAGTACAGGTCATCAGGTACAGACATCCGTAAGTCTCAACGGCGAGGGGGAAGAATCCAACCCATGAGGCCGTGGAGCCCTCGTAGTCAGATATTTTCTTGTCTGCTGCTTCCCGTGCCGCCCAGCCTCTTCCCTTGATCGCGTTGGGGTCTCAAGTACTAATGGGGTCTGTGATTGTCACGTCCCCGATCCAAACTGCCCCGGAGGAGTGGTCCCGTATGGCAATGTCTGCCTTCTTTCTGGTGACCGGGCAGAACGCGGTTGTTTCGCTATGGGTCATGAAGCTTGCGTCTTCCGCCATGCGCACGCACTCAACCCGAAGTTTGTTGTGAGTATTAGTTTGTCCCCCCTCTGTGTCGCAGCAGAGCAGGTGGTTGGGCAACCTCCTATCTGCAATTGCCACCTCCATGCGGCAATCGCAGGCACCAGGGGCGGAGGATGGCAGACCCATCCGAAACTGCAGCCCGTGGGCGAAGTGGGCTGGGGCAAGGCGGAGTGATGAGTTGAAGGGGACCGCGTGCAGCCAGTCCCCTGCCCCGTAGCCAGATAAGGAGAGCATCCGCTGGGTGTGGCCGCTGAGGGGATTGAGCTGCATCCTGCGCGTGTCTCGAGCCTGCTCAGCGTACCATAACCCCTGAACCAATGTGGTGAGCCCGTGCTGCAGGTTTATGCCTTTGGGTTCAGCCCGTTCGCTTTGTAACAGCTCCTTCCCCTCAGCTGGCAGCGCCTCCTCACACCTCTCAAGCCAATCAAAGAGGGGTGCTGTGTTCTGTAGGGGCCCTACCATCTGAGCCCGTGTCTCTGCCAGGGCTCCAACTGATGCCTCATCGAGGGAGGTGAGTAGGTGGCTGGCCTGTGTGTAACTAGCGAGGAATCCGACACGCCCCTCCACCGATGGGTCCGCCAGGCCAAGGCCTCCAAGGGAGACCGGGAGAGATGCTTGTGCCCAGGCACGTGCAATCTCTGCTTCACCCCTCGGCTGGCGTATTCCACAGGCGGAGGTGTCAAACAACCGCTTTCCCCAGTCCGACCACTCCTCTATTGGCAGGGCTGACAGTGGAGTTGTGCAGGCTACGTAACAGACGCGGCGCGAAATGCAGCGGGTAAGCAGGAGGGAGGCTAGCTGCGGGTCCATTTGAGCTATCAGGCGTAGCGGGCTACCCATTGCGTCGAGGTTGTTGCGAAGGAAGGAGGCCGTGGCGTCGGTACCACCAATGAAGCTGCCCAGCACCTTCACACCACCGTCACTGAAGGGCAAGCCACGGGGTAGTGATGCCGGCTGCTGCCCTGTGTGAGACCATGCCGCGCATTTGGAGGGATTGTGGAGCAGCCCGATCCCAGTGAGGTTGGTGATGAAGTCATTGAAAGCGGCTGCACATTCCGCCGCCTCTCCCAGAAAGGTCACATCGTCCGCGTAAGCGAGGCAGACTACGAACGGGTACGCCAGGGCTGTTTGTTTGAGCGCTGGATGCATGGCTGCAGCAAAAAGGAGTGGGCCGAGGGGGTCCCCCTGCCTCACCCTGGTTTCACTCGAGAGAGGTGTGTGTGAGAAGCCGGCGTCGAGGCGCAGCGCAGATGGATGGCTGTAGGTAAACTTCACCAGGGGCAGTAGGGAGGCTAGCGAGGAACCAATGAGGGATGCTACGATTGCCGCCGGGTCAACGCTATTGAAAGCGTTTGCTATGTCTACTTGCAGGACCAGAGCGCTCAGATTCACGGTGAGGTAAGTGCGGGAGATGTGAATGATTGCCTCCGCTCCGCCCGGGACTGCTACTCCAAACTGGTAGGGAAGAAAGAATTTCTGCGCGTCATTAGCTGTCAGGGCAAGGGCCGTCTTAGCGGCGAGGCGTAAGAGGCACTCGCCAACAGCGATTGGCCACGTCCCCCTGTCTGGTGTGGTAAGTGCTAGTAAGCGGGAAGCAGTGAGGAGTTCTCCTACGGCGGGCGGTAATTTCCCCGTTAGGATGGTGTTCACGAGTGCATGCAGGTGCTTTCCCACCGAGGCGTTGATCAGCACTGAGTCCCGTAAGTGTTCGAATGTTGTCCCAGAGGGGCCTGCCCCAACAGCCATCTCACAGCGTCCCAACACCTTGGAGAAAATTTCGAAGGGAGCGGTCAGTGGTGGGTCTGGTGCTGGGTATGTCCGGTTCAGTTGAGAGGAGGGAGCTCGTGGGTGCTTGGCGCGCAGTGACTCCAGCACGGCTGGAGACGGAGTGCAGACCGGAGTGGCATCGAGAGCCAATACCGCACGCCGCAGGCAGCCACGTCTCGCTAGCCCCTCAGCACGAGCGATGACGACGACGTCATCAGGCTGGTGTCTGGGTGGCTCTGGCCACGACAGGGAGGCCACAGTGTTCAGGTACAGCTTGTCCCATTCGCCTGACAGGAATTGGGTGAGTCGAGCCGTGACAGTGGGCCAGTCGCGTTTTCTCGGCGACAGTTGGCGAAGGGTAAGGCGCGGGAGGAAGAGGAGCAGCACCCAGGCTGGGTAAGAGTCGGGATCCTTCGCCAGGCGCAGCAGTGGCACTAACATGGCCGTGGCGAGGAGCTTTCGTTGGTCGTGGGGGAGGTGGCGAGAGAGGGAGGCGTGGCGACTGTCGCGAAGTGTCGCTAAGTCCCACACTTCCACTGCTGCAAATAGGGGATCGTCCAATGCTAGGGTTTCAGGTGATTTTTCCTCGAGGGGTTGGGTTGAAATGGGGTTACGGCCAGGTGCAGGTGCAGATGGAGGGGCGGTTTGCGCAGGGGTCTAAATGTGGGAAGTTGTGGTTGGGTGTGGTGGCGTGGCAGCAATTCCCGATGCGGCGCGAGTTGGTGTTGTTGGACCCCTCCTCCCGGGTCTCCTACCAGTGTTAGCGGTCGTTGCCCTATCTGCCCAAGCAGGAGTCCGAAGCTCCGCTTCATCCACAGACTCTGAGCTCGAGGTCGAGTCCGTGGATACAGTGGGTACAAAGCTAACATCCGAGGTGTTGCTATCAGTATCCTCATCGAGATTCATTAAAGCCAGTCTGCCCGCCCGCTGGTAGACGTTTTCTGGTCCCCCGCCGACAGCCGCGCTCCCCTCTCGTCCCGCAGGGCCGACTGCGGGAAGTCATCCGTCCGCGCCTCGTGCAGCATCTGTCTGTCGGCTTGATGGATCTGCCCGCCGCTCCGGTCCATGAACGTACCGCGGAGAGCGATCCTGCTCCCCGTGCGCTTCCTCCGTCGCGACCTGCGGCGAGTGTCCCTATGGCCCCGTTGAAGGCGGCAGAACAGGTCCGCCGCCGCTTCGAGGAGCATCGATGCGAGCTGGTGCGAACCTCGCCACGGAAGGAACTGGCACGCAAGGGGCCCGGCATGCGCTCCGACGAAGAGGCTGTGGCGCACCGGGGGCGATCGCCTTGGCGCCGCTCGTCAGTAACACACCATGAGGGGCGGGCGAGTCGTCGTGATGATCGTCGAGATATGTCCTGCACGCCTCCCCCGCCGCTATCGCCCCACCGGTCGCGATCGCCACGCCGCGTGGCGTCGCGAAGCTCGTCCCGAGATCGCTGGAGGCGTCGTCACCGATCCCCTGCTCGCTAATCGTCACGCCAGCATTCTCCTGAGCATCACGCCTCGCACCATCGCTCCCTCTCCCCGCGTTCGCCGCAGCAGCAAAAGCGGTGGCGACTTTACTCCCCTCGTCGCGGGGGACGATCTCCTGAGCGCCCGCACCAGCTCGTCTCGTCCCGCCGTCCATCGCCTGCGCGCTCAAATGTGAGCGGCCGTGCGCGACATGGGCGGCAGGGCGGCTATGGCCGTGGCGGAGCGGCGCGTATGGCGCCATCCGCAATGGAGCGTCTTCAGCAGAGGTTGGATGGAGTGGAGAAGGCACTCCACCGTTCGAAGGCGGAGTCATCATCGCAGGTCGCGCGCCCAGCAGCTCCAGTCGCTCCCCTCGCTGCGCTCTTGCCGCACAACCCGGTGGGGTCTCTTGTGCGTCCCCGTAGTCCTCTGCCTGCGGGGGCAGGTTTCGTGGGAGTGGGTGGCGGGGATCCGTGGGCCCCGTACGTTCCTCCACGTCCCGCTCCACCTCCGCGCGATTATGTGGTGTCGGCGCGTCGAGCTCGCCAAACTGCAATGCCGCCGGCAAAGAAAGAAGTGCCCATGGCGACCCTGGCGCATTTGTGGTCGATCGCGGAGTGCCTGCAGAGTCTTGAGGTGGTTCTTGTGGAGTCTCACGGCTCCATGTCGTTGACCCCACCGAGCATGTTCTCTCAGATGCCGCGAGCAAGGTGTCACGCGGCGGCGTCAACACTATTCGCGTTCGTATCGCCACTGCAGGTTGCGCCCTTGCCGGGAGTAGTCTCAGCCACCCTGCTGGCTGAGAGGGCCCTGGATCTGAAGACGCTTGTAGGAGATCGCGGAACTCCTGTTGACGTTGTCACCGCGTCAGTGGTCCGCTGCTTGTGGTTGACCGCCCGCGAAATGCTAGGTGAGCTTGAGGCGGACCGCATGTAGGCGCAGCTCTCGCGCGCGTGTAGACCCGTTCCATGTGATCCTGCCTAGATGTCATTGCATGCCATTGTCGTTGTCGGTCTTGCTAGTTGACCACGGTTGTAGAGATCTTGTCACCTCTCACGCGCAGCCGAAGACCGCGCCCGCGAGAGCCGGAAAAATGCTTTGAAGAACCAAGCAAATAATGAGCTAGATCATAGGCCGAGAGGCCATTATATAGGTGGAGGGTGGAAGAGGCTAAGTAAGACGCTCTCTCTCTCTATCTCTCTCTCTCTCTCTCTCTCTCTCTCTCTGTCTCTCTCTCTCTCTCTCTCTCTCTCTCTCTCTCTCTCTGATGGGGTCCGTTACCGTTACATCGCATATGTAGACGGCGTCAGTAGAGCGGCAGCGTAAGGCCAGGTCTGCCTTCTTCTCCTCCACTGGGCTGAAGGCGGCCTTCTCGATATGCACCATGAAGCCAGCATCTTGTGCCATCCGTGCGCACTTGTCTCTAATTTCATTGTGTGTGTTTGTGCGCCCCCCCCTCTCTCTCTAATGGCCCTTGTATTGATATGGCAGCAAGGTACAAGCATGCAATATAAGGATGTAACAAAGAAACAAACAAAGCACCAATCATACCCACTTTTCCCCTAGAGCTCCAGAAAGGGCTCTACCACAGCAAAACAGTCCCCTAGGTGTAACTCTTGACCAATACCCCCTACAGGCGGGTTCTCTGCTGCTGCTGCCTCGCCCAACTTGAGTAGAAGACCCACTGATTGGGCCCTTTAGAGGGCCACTGACCATCGCTGCCGAAACTGGTGCAGGAACTTGGCGGCATAAAAGGATTTGGAGTCGGCGTTAAAGTGGCGCCGAGCCGCCGTGTCTGCGAGGAGCTTCAGGAAGGTTGGTACTTCCGCGCATGGGCAACCATAGGTGTCGACTGCCAATGGGAAGAAGCCAACCGTCTCTGGCCGGTTGGCGTAATGCTGTATTTTCTTATCGGCTTGTTCCCGTGCCGCCCATCCCCTGCCTTTCTGCGCCTCTGGGTCTCTCGTGCTGATGGGGTCCGTGATGGTGACATCACAGACATAAACCGCCCCACTGCTTCTATCCGTCATTGTAAAGTCGGCGGTTTGGTCCTCGATAGGGCAATGGGCGGCCGACTCGCCGTGAACAATGAAACATGCGTGCTGCGCCATGCTAATGCACGCATCCCGTAGCTCGTTGTGGGTGTTGATGCGGTGTTTGCCCAAACCGCAGCGGAGGAGATGGTTCGGTAGGCGGGGATCGGTGATGGCGGTCTTGTCCGCACAGTCGCAGTTCTTAGGGGTTGAAAAGGGGAGGGCCAGGCGGAATCGAACGGCATTGGCGAAGTGTACGGGGCCTATCCGTCTGGTGGGCTCAATGGGGATCGCGGTGAGCCAATCGCCGGTGCCATACCCGGTCAGCGAAAACATACGCTGCGTGTGGCCTGACAGTGGGTTCAACCGCATGCGCCTGGTTGCCTGGACCTGTACCACATATCTGCTTCCGTGTACCTTTAGCCCGAGCACATGTTGCAGCCTAATATCCGATCGCTCCAGCCGCTCCTTCTCTAGGATCTCGCGCGCGTCTAGTGGCAGACCTGCTTCGCACTCCTTGAGCCAGGAATGCATCGGCGTGCTGTCATCTCTTGGCAGTAGCATGTGGTTCTGAGCGATCGTCAAGGCATTCTCCGGTGCTAGCGCCAGGGAGGACAAGAACAACGCCGCTTGGGTGAAACTTGCTGTAAAACCGTAGATTCCTTCAACGAGCGGGTTTGTAATGCCGATGCCTCCTAGCGATGTGGGCAGCGACGCCTGCTCCCACACACGTGCTTGCTCAGTGCGGCAAGTTGGCATGCGGATGTCGCAGGAGGTGAGTAAGGTAGTGAGCAGGTCCCGACCCCACTGGCTCCAGGTGTCGCGGGGGAGTAGGTGAAGCGGTGTTGTTCTAATGAGGTAGGCTACTCGTCTAGAAATGCATCGCGTGAGTAGAAGCGCGGCTACTTGGGGGTCAGCTCGTTCTATTAGTGGCAGCGGCTTTGTCATTTCGGCTAACTGTTCGGTTAGGAACTTGGCTGCTCCGACGTCTGTCCCCACGTAGCTACCAAGGAGTCGTACCCCGTCCGTTGAAATCGGCACCCCGGGTGGGAGTTGCGCTTGTGTGACTGTCGTCGAGCTCCAGGCCGCACATTTCTGCGGATTATGCGTCAGGCCCAGGCATGCCAGCTTGGCTGTGAAGTCTGTGAATGCTGCTACAGTGCACGAAGTGTCACCCAGGAAGGTGACATCGTCCGCATATGCCAAGCAGAGCACGTTGGGGTGTGCCACTGTAATCTCGCGGAGCGTGGGGTGTATTCCCGCTGCAAACAGTAACGGGCCTAGTGGATCACCCTGCCGAACGCCCCGTTCACTTTGCAGTGGTTCGCTGTTGAAATCAGAGTCGAGGAACAGCTGCGACGGGTTACCGTACGTCAGTTTTACAAATGTCTGTTGTGGCGAGAGTCCGGGCTCCTGTAACGCAGTGGCGATGGCATGTCGCGAAATGCTGTTGAATGCGTTCGATATATCGGCTTGCAGGACCAGGCTGTTGGGACGAGCATCCAAGAAAGCCCTGGCTGCGTGTATTACTGCCTCAGCTCCACCTGGCACTGCCACGCCGTACTGAATTGGCAGGAAATGTTCGCGTGCAGCTTCTCCCATGGCTATCAGGGCTGCCTTGGCCGTCAGCCTTGTCAAGCATTCGCCTATCGCAATTGGCCGGGCTCCTCCCCCAGGCTTGGCCTGAGCTATGAGCCGTGACGCGGTCAGGATTTTTGCGACCGGGCCTGGCAAATTCCCTCCGAGAATGGTATTGACCAAGGCGTGCAGATGGGTGCTAACCATTCCGTTGGTGATCGCCGCGTCACGTAGGTGCTCAAATGTCGTACCCGAAGGTCCGGCCCCTACCCCGTTCTCGCACCTTCCAAGAAGCTTGGAGAACTCAGCATGAGTGATGGAAAGTTTTGACTCTGGTGGCTCAGGCCAGGTCACTGCATCGGGTACTGCTGGCGGGTGCTTCTGTCGCAGCTCTTCTAATATTTCCTGGCTCGGGGTGCAGACGGGTGTTGACTCCAGGGCCAGCACGGCCCTGCGTAGGCTGCCACGTTTCGCCAGGCCCTCGGCTCGGCTGATGACTCCGGTCGTGTCAGGCTGGTGTCGTGGCGGTGGGGGTGTGTTGACCGCGTCGACTGCGTTCTGGTATGGCTGCCCCCATTCGCCGCGCTGAAAGGCTCCGAGCTGGGCTTTGACCCGCGGCCAGTTCGGTCGTTGTGGCGAGGTCTGGCGAAGTGTTAGGCGCGGGAGGAACAGCAGCAAGCGCCAACCCTCCTCGGATTCAGGGTTTTGCGATAGGTGGAGTAACGGTGTCAGAAGCGCTAGCGAGAACAGTTGGCACAGAGTAGGCGGTAAACGACGTGTCAGCGAAGGCTGGCGACTGTCGCAGAGTGCCGCGATGTCCCAGCTCGAGATTGTTGCGAACAGGTCTGCTCTCTTCGCCAGTTCGTCAGGGGAAAAATAGCGGGGTGTCGGAGTGGTTTGGCGCGTCGCGACATTGGGAGTAGCGGTCTGATTTCGTCGAGCGCGACCCGTCCGCCCTGGCAGGATTGGGGTTGGAATTTCACCCGTTCGATTGGCATCGGACAGTCGCTGAGCCGCCTGTGCTGCTTGCGTGGCCAAGAGCCCTACCCGCGCTACTCCTCTTCCCGCTGCCTCCCGTGTACTGCCTTCGTCCTCGGTCCCCTCGTCTTCGCTTGGAGGGAGGGATTCTTCCCTATAAGGTGGGTCCCTTATCTCGTCATCCTCATAATCCTCATTTGTTGCCTCCAGAGCCCTTAAAGCCCTACGCCCCGCCGCTTGGTACCCGTTTTCCGGACCTCCGCCTGCCCCGCTCGTAACCTGCCTCCTGGCCCCGCTGCCTCCCCGATCTCCAGATGGTGATTGCCGGTGCATCTGAGCCATCGCCAGTGCGCGCTGCCGCCTGGTCGGCTGTGGTCGCCCTGCCTTAGTCGGGGCCCGGAAAGGCGACCATGCCGGCGGAGCCCCCTGAACCGCCGGCTCCGACGCCCTCGACAACAGTCGCTGAAAAGACTCTTCCCCACGCACCCGCGGATCCCCTTGCCGTGTTGGGAGCTGGCCCGTCTGTTCCTGCGGTTGCTCTTGGACCTGGGGCGCCCGTTGCTCCGCCTGCTTCCGTCCCCGACGCGCCGGCACCGGCTTCTGTTTCGTCGACGAATGCGGCGTCCGCCACCACTGGCGGCCCGGTTCCGTCGGTTGCGCCTTTAGCGGCGGC